ATAACTAGGATTATGCAAAACATTTTTTTAATGAACTGGTTGTTCTATCTCCAAACTCAGCATCTCTTCATCCATTCCTGCAACAAGAAGTTTCTTTTGACTGGATGTGATTAAACTTTAAGCCTCTCGGTATAAAATAAATATTTTGATCGAGATGAGAAATCTGCTTCCTGCTATGTTGAAGCACCAGTTTTTATTCAATCATTTAATAAAGTTATTTTTGGGAAATATATGAGAATTATGCTTTAATTAGTAGTTAATGATCCTTCTTTACCATATTTTAATTAGTGACAGTGGATTTTCTCAATGTTCTTTTTCCTGTTTGGTGAGATTGTAATTGTGGATCCTGGCCGGACCGGAGCTAAAAATAGCTTAGCTCTGTATTTTGATGGTGAAGGACGGAGAAGACATACGTGGACGGAGACGTGCGAAAGAGTAACGATAGATGTGGAACAGCTCTCATTAATTAATTGTACAGGATTTAATATTAAAATGATTTTGTTCGATTGTTCCAAGCAGCTTTTTCCACAGCAGGAAATGGAAAATATGCAAATATTTTGGTTCAGCCTGACTTCAGAGAACGACTCTCAGGGTGGAATGACGGCCCAGTGGATTACAGCAGCGCACTTCTGCTCTGAGAGAGCTGGACATACCTGGGTCGATCCCCACAGCCTCCACTCTGGGTCCCTGAACAAGACCCTTTACCCCACACTGCTGCCCGGGCGCCGCACAATGGCAGCCTACTGCTCCCCAGGGGAGGGGTTAAATGCAGAGCTTAATTTCTCCAATGATTAACTCTTACCTGTTTTTCTCCTCCAGCTCCTTGTTGGCCTTCTTCTTGAACTTTGGCAGCAGCTGCTGCAGCAGCTCCTTGGCAGCATCGCGGTCTTTCAGCGCAGTGCTCTCATTGGCGAAGTGGAATGTGGTACTTTCTCCAGTGTGAAGAACCAGCTGGAGCTGAATCTTGGCTTTGCCGTCAGGACTGATCTTCTGACCTAAACATGGGAACCAGGAAATGCCAGAATCAGATAAAGACCAACATCATCACACGTCTTTGTTAGCTTTGTGGATTTAAGTGGGACTCACAGCGGATATCTGAATAGAGGTGGCTGACAGTGAAGCGGTCTTTGCCTTCTGGACCCCAGGCTATTCTTTCTGCCATCAGGTAGAGGGTCCCATCCTGCTTCCTCTGACGGACTTTCTTCACCACCAGCAGCACCTCCTCTGACAGAGATGCCATCTCCCAAACAGGCAGAGGCTAAAACAGAAAGACGATAAATATAAGCGCACAAATAAACAAGGGAAACAAACAGTGACTAATGAAAACCCGCAAACAAACCAAAAAAGTAAGCAATGACGAACAGAAGCATGAAGACTTTTAACTAAAACAGTTAGCCGCGTTAAAAACATGAACAAAACGATAAAATCCAACATAAATCACTAAATACTAAAAAACATTCATAAGTTCAGCGCTTATATCGCCGCTTTATGCAGATTTCTATCTCCTTAGAGCAGCTAAGCACACTGATGTTAGCTAACAGAGGAAAAACAGGCAGCAAACTTACTTCACCTCAAAATGAATCAATACTGCAGCGATTAGCTCCTTCTATCTAAACACATGATGTCAAAGATGCTGTTATGGCCTCAGAGATCTGATAAATCAATCATTTAAGATTAATTTAATCCACTCTAATAGTGAACGAGCTCACTTTCTGCGCCCGGCGACATAACTGCCAGAAGATGTGTTACACCGAAAAGATTCCGACTCAGATAATCGACTGTCTGCAAATAGTTCCACAGGACGATTCCCCCGGAAACGCTACACCCGTCACAGCGCCACACAGCGACAGAATAATGGAATAACCTTTTCTTTTCTTCCTGTCCTGCTCAGCATCATTACATTTAGACTGAAAGGGGATTTATTAGCTTTACAATGGATAAAAACAGGAATTTGTTCAGATTCAAGCTCTGCATTATTAAGTTTAAAATATAATCAGTCAGATAGTAGGATGGACATTTTATTAGAAATATTTCATACATTATTCAGAATAAAAAAATATGGGTTTGATTGTTGTATTTGTTCCAGCACAGATTGGAGAAGAAGGAAGCGAGAGGGCAGATAAAATGACAAAGAGAGCAATTCATAATCCTATTAGTTTTACAGTAAACAAGTAAATCAGAGGGAAAGAGTTTTCTTAAAGAAAAACTGTTTGAAAAATGGCAAAAAGGTGGGATGAAGAAAAAGGAAGATAGTTTTATAAAATTCAGAAGATAGTTGGAAAAATAAGAAATGGAGGACGAAATAGAAAGGAGGTGAGAGAGACTTTTTAACACTTTTCAAAATTCAAAAGCAAACTACTAGAAAATATGAAACAATAGAACATGTTATACTGGAATGTCATCAATATGAAAGCCAGAGAAGATATATGAGGAGAGAGTTTGAATGTATGAAGGAAAAGATTAATTTATTTGATATTTTGAAGAAGAAAACTATATATATATA